CCAACATTGGGTTGAAACAACCCAGCATTTTTTAGAGTGTATGGTGGTTATGATTCTGACTATTATGCTGAAGTTGACAAAGATTGGTAAATAGTACTATAAATAATATATTACCTCCTGTCTAAATTCAACTGATTCATCTCCTCTGCCTGACGTCTTGACCAAAGACATTTTGACCCATGTCCGAAAGCCTCCAGAGAAGGTCCACATTGAGTAATTCCTTTCACAGTCCATCATAAAAGCCGCTTTATCTGAGCTGGTAAGAAAAAGAGATTTTATACAAACAGGAAAACAAATCTGATTCATGGTAGACATTTCGATATAGCTCTACCTTTCAAGCATGTCACTAAATTTGGCAAAAATCATGTAACTGATTGCGCTGAAATCCTCTTCCGTTTCATTCCGACTGAACTGGAGGAATAGAAGTTCTCGGTTCCTCACATCAGTCGGCCCTCTGACCACTATGGCTCGCTTCTGCCGCAGACATGTTACGTAAATGATTATTAATAGCACAATTTCTTTGGAATAGATTTGAGGAAGATCTGAAACATACTTGTGTCTGGTTTGAATATGGCCCGTGGTAAATAACCTCCTCTTTTATACAGTTTCTTTCCTCTAGTATGTCCAATGCAACAAGAGGTGGAATGTTGTCGTGATAATGATGCTTGCAACTTAATAACTGCGCCTTCCCAGGATACAAAGCTATTCCTGTTTGCAAAAGAATGATAAAAAATACTGTAAATATAGATACCGAGAGATACCATAAATAACAGTGTATTATAGCTCACCTGGTGCAGCAAACTCCTCAACCTCTTTGTATGAAACGGACATGACTGGATGGTTGAGCTTCTCCATAAAGTCCGAAATGGTTTGGTAGGCCAAGAACACAGCCACCGTAGTGAGCAGCAAATAAATGAGGACAAGGATGACTGTGAAAACATTCTTCAGGCAAGCTTTGTTGAAACCAACGGCCATTAGATTGTTGTCCACAATGTCCTCATCTGCAACATATAATACAATTTTATTTGAAAGCAATGTCTTTATTAAAAGACACAATAAATACGTTAAAAATAAAATACAAACAAATAAATAAATACAGACTTTATTGTCACAGAAAGGGACATTTGTCCCAGAAAATATCTATCTATCTATCTATCTATCATTGCAAATTTACCTTCCGAGACAGTACAAATAAATGAATATCTAAATAAATAAAACTCAACTGCACCAACTAAACCATCACACAATAGAACTATAGCAGTTTAAGCAAAGGAGAAAAAA